GACAACACTTCGCCATCTCGCGAGCTTCGGGCACCGTGGCTTCGGGCGTGCAGCCAAAGCACGACGGAAGGAAACAAGCACTTGCTGGAGGCAGGGCACCCGAAAGAGACACCCCGTCGTTCTCATTCTGTCGGTGATTTTATGGGTACTACTTAATGCCGCTTGTTTGTCCATCGAACAGCGCCCAACGGCCTTTCACAATGCAAACTTCTCTCCTTTCTAACAAGTCCCGCCGTGGCTGCCGTTGGAAAGCGTTGGGCGTGCAGCGCGGACGACACAGCGGGCGGTTGGACGTTCTTTCTTTCCCATGGGAACGGGCCTTCCCGCGCTGACGGGCATCCGCGCCCTGAGGTGTCGAACGCCGTCTCGGTTCCTCTCAGCTCGGCGGACACAGACCGTCGATTCCGGGTCATGGCACGCGCGCGACAAAGGGTCCTAGAAACGAGAGGGCGTGATTTCCACTATGATCACTGAAAGGATGAGAACGACAGGAAGAGGTTTCGTTTGCCTCGCCGCGAGCGAGCCCTCACCAGCTCTGATAACGCCTCGGCCTCGAGCGCGCGCAAGCATCCAAAGCACGGCGAAAGGCAGCCAGCGCGTTCTGGGCGCCGGACGTTCCGAAGAGACGCTCTGCCGTTCTAGCCCTGCCGGTGATTCTGGCACCACGATGAGACAAACTTGGGACACATCAGAGTAGCTTACTCCGCCATGCCCCGGAGTCCCACGTGCTATCCGCGTGCTCTTGTATTCTTTCAATCGTCGTTACCGGTGACGCGCTCTTTTTTTTCGTAACGTATAGTAACGCATTCGTTACATTTTCAGAACAGTAAGGTATAACGTACTTACGTTACTTATTTCTGGTAACAGGTAAGGTAGCTACGTCAATCCTGACGGCTTATTTCCGATACTTAAAAGTTACGCTTCATGTTCTTTCGTCTTTTTAGGCACCAAGTCTAATGAATTCTTGCACTTATCGCTTATACCTTGGAAATCCGAACCGTTAAAAATATTGGGTTATGTTGCGTTTCTAAATGGATATAATATTTTGCTTAAATATGGCGCTTATGCATACTTGTATGCGTCAAAAGAGCAAAACGTTTTAATTCTAAAATAAAATGTCACGCAAAAATAACTTGAATAACCTTTTATCGATAATGGCAACAACAACACGTTCCTTTTATTTTGAGGTAGCGTACGTCGGTAAACGGGTGTTCTTGTTTGCAAGGAACGAGTAACGTATTTCGTTACTTTTTACCTACATCACTGGCGGTAACCTATATACACGACTTACATCCGATGGGCATCCTAACCGGAATTACGCTTAACTATGGTTAGCAGTTACTGCAAACTTTTCCACAGTTACGCGGAAACCCTTAACAGCAGTTATGCCTGACCAGTCCCACTGAACTGCGGATAAGGGAGCCCGTGTAAGTAAGGCATGCGTATAGCCTCACACGCGCATTTTACTTGCACGAGTACACCAAGTGTTCGTTCATGATGTGCAACGTAGCTGGAGTGAAACCGCCAGATAACACGGTGGACCAGTGAGAAAAAAGATGATGGGTGACGCGTATCCAAGACAATTCTTTTTTTTTTTTACTTTCACCCGCTTTTCGGTTATCATAAACGGCAAAGGATTCAGCTAGCTATTTGATGATTTCGCGCGAGAAAAATATAATTTACCTGGACGTTCGTTTGTAAAAAAAAATTTCTACTGCGTCAGGTGATATCATTATAAATACTAATTTAAAAAAAGAACTACCTACGGGCACGCCTGCAGTAAATCGAAGCGCAATACGCCAAGAATCCAATATATGCGGTACTTTAAAAAAGAGCATCACCAGGCTACGGATTTCAGGGTAAATGCCCTTTCCTCATATGGTCAATTTTGCTTTAGTCATCCAACACAAAAAACAGTGTCGTTCGCTGCACAGGTGTTACGCTGCTTGCATCATTTCGACGCAGTAGTTTGCTGCCGTTTTTGGTTGAGGCTAACAATAGCTCATGCGCACGTTCACCTGTCGAGCCCGTTTTGATGACTAAACAATAGGCACAACTTGATGATTGACCACGCGAGAGAGCCTCGAAGACGAACCTCACAAACACAGGATGACTCCATCGTGTCACGTGATGTAGCGTGATTTATTGAAATCGCAAAGGCGGCAACGGCAATAACCCGAGAGGTCACTGACAGTCAGGAACTCAGGTGTCCCTGTTTGTCCGTCAACCGTTTAGAAATCGAATACTTTTCGCTTAGCAGAAAACTTGAAAACGATCAATGTCGAATATTTTTGTTTTCCTGTAATTTTTTTCTTGCTTTTTTTAATACACGAATAAAAAAAGTAGATACATTAGAGAGTTTTAGTAGAACGTTCCGATACCTCTGATAGCCCCGATAACGATATTATGCATGCGCAAGGCAGGCGGCAGAGAGTTTTAGTAGATCGTGTTCTCAGGCCACGATAATCGTAGCGGGAGCTCGCGCTGCCACTTCGATGCATGCTCTGAAGCGCGCGCTCGTAGCGGTAGCGGGCCTTTAGAAACGGTCTACTAAAACTCCCTGGTGACGGAGTATAGAGAGTTTTAGTAGATCGTTCCCATGACTCAAATCAAAATTTTGATTTGAGTCATGGGAACGATCTACTAAAACTCTCTATTGTCATCCGCTTTATTTGGGCCCGTTACTCCTTATCACTTTGTTGTGTGTTGGCAACCGAGGATATCCAGGGATGCCGGTGAACTGGTGCACGCGCGCAGGCACGAGACGTTCTACTGCTCTGGCCCCCAACCCGGTCGGCTGTGCCCGCTGTATGCTGTAATGTATATATTATGTAAATATTAAATACACAACATTGGCGACGAAGTGGAGTCAACCTGCGGCGGAAGACCTTCTAGAGCGCCGTTCACGGCGCCATGGCAGAAGCAAAGGCATCAGCGGCGCCGGCATTCGGCGGCATCGAAGAGTTCGCACCGAGCACCGGTGCAACATGGCCACTGTACCACGAAAGACTTGAGTTCTACTTTATCGCAAATGAGATCAAGTCAGCCGAGAAGAAGCGTGCAATCCTGTGCACGGTCTGCGGGGCGGCAACGTACGCCATCATTCGTTCACTCTGCTCACCGGCTCTACCTTCCGAGACGAGCTACGACGACATCGTCTCGCGACTGGCGGCCCACTTCAACCCGAGGCCGTCCGCCATTGTTCAGCGTTTCCAGTTCGGGAAGCGCGACCAGCGTCAAGGAGAAAGTATCGCCGACTACATCGCCGAGCTTCGTCGGCTGTCGGAGCACTGCGCTTTCGGGCCAACGTTGGACGACATGCTCCGAGACAGGTTAGTCTGCGGCCTCCGGGAAGAGTCCCTTCAGCGACGGCTTCTCTCCGAGCCGGAACTAACCTTCGCGGTGGCCAAAGAGAAGGCGATAGCAGCAGAGTACGCCCACCACCAGACAGAAAAGATCAGGGGGGCGTCCGCAGAGAGCAGCGATGTGTGTCGTGTTGGTAAGCAAATGGCTCCGAGAGCTAAGCCTAATGCCGAGGCAGCAAGAGAAAGGACTGCGTCGAAGTCACAGCAAGACGCTGGCAAGTGTTTTCGCTGTGGAGGGTCACACGCACCAGACGAGTGTCGTTTTCGACACGCACAGTGCCACTTTTGCAAGCAGCGGGGCCATATCGTGAAAGTTTGTCGACGAAAAGCGAAACGGTCCTCACCGACGCCTAGGCCTACAGGTGGCAGCCGCCAGAACGGCCGGCGGCGCGACAGTGAAACAGCGGATGTTTTCGGCATCTTCCAAATGACTGCCGAGGAACCTGCTATCCGCGTGGTCGTAGAAGTGAACGGGAACCCTCTCGAGATGGAAGTCGACTCAGGAGCGGTGTGCTCCGTGATCAACGAGAGAACTATGCGTCAGCTGCGGTTGTCCGAGCACAAGCTGCGACCGTGTGAAATACGTCTTCGCATGTACAACCAGCAGGAATTGAAGGTGCTAGGCTCCGTGATGGTCCAAGTCACCTATAAAGGGCGTCAAAAACGACTGCGTCTCGTCGTGATCAAGGGAGCAGGCGTAGGCTTGCTTGGCCGAGACTGGTTCAAGGCTCTTGGGATTGAGCTGAGAGTCAATCAGCTGGAAGAAGCAACGAACAATCAGAGCCCGTCCACCGCAGTAGTGCTGAGTCGTCACGCCGACGTTTTCCAACCAGGTCTAGGCAAGAGCAAGGGACCACCAGTTCGAGTCGAAGTGGAACCGACTGCCCAGCCCAAGTTTTTCAAACCGCATCCAGTTCCCTTTGCCTTACTACCAAAAGTGGATGAAGCCTTGGACAAGCTCATCAGGGAAAGCATTTTGGAACCGGTCCGACATTCCAGTTGGGCGACTCCAATAGTACCTGTGGTAAAAAAGGATGGCACAGTGCGAATCTGTGGCGACTACAAAAGTACGGTAAACCCTGTGGTCCGTTGGGAAAGCTACCCCCTACCCACACCTGAGGAACTTTTCGCGAAGCTGGCAGGCTGTGCAAGGTTTTCCAAGCTTGATTTAGACCAAGCGTACCTGCAGCTGACAGTTGACAGTGAGACAGCTGACCTTCTCACCATCACCACACACCGTGGACTTTTCCGTGTCACGCGCCTACAGTTCGGAGTAGCTGTTGCAGTCGCTATTTTTCAGAGGTACATGGAAGAGCTGCTGCAAGGGCTGGAAGGGGTGCAAGTTTTTCTCGATGACATCCTGGTAGGCGGTAAAGATGAAGCCGAGCACAACACCCGTCTGCAAGCTGTGCTTCAAAGAATTCAAGACGACGGTGTCCGGCTAAAAAGGGACAAGTGCGTTTTTGGAGTGGATGAAGTTGTATTCCTAGGATACAAGGTCAGCAAGGCAGGGATACAGCCGACAGACGACAAGGTCAAGGCTATCCATGGGGCACCCGAGCCAAAATGCAAGAAGGAGTTGCAAGCGTTCCTAGGGGCACTCAACTTCTACAACAGGTTTCTACGGGGAGCGGCACACACTTTGGAGCCCTTGTACAGGCTGCTCGACAACGGCCATAAGTGGAGATGGACTACGCAGGAAGCAGAGGCTTTTCTGCGGGCCAAGCAGCTACTGCAGTCTTCGGACGTCCTTGCCCATTACAGTGTCCACCAGCCACTAGTCATGGCATGTGATGCCTCTCCGTACGGACTTGGGGTGGTACTCAGCCACGTTGATAGCGAAGGCCGGGAGGTACCGGTAGCCTATGGCTCTCGAACTATGACAGCTGCCGAAAGGAACTACGCACAGACAGACCGGGAAGCTCTGGCGATAGGTTTTGGAATACGAAAGTTCCACAAGTTCATCTACGGTCGGCATTTTCGGATCGTGACCGATCACAAACCTCTACTGGGACTCTTGCATCACGCAAAACCGATGCCTCAAGTGCTGTCGCCGAGGATGTTGCGATGGTCGTTAATGTTGTCGGCTTACGACTACGAGCTGGAGTACAGGCCTGCTCATCAGCTCAGGAACGCGGATGCACTGAGTCGACTGCCTCTAACTGTGGAAGACAGCTCAACTGACGAGAAACTTTTTGAAGTCCGGATGCTGGAGACTGCGCCGGAGATTCCGTGGGATGCCCAGAAGATTGCCCGATGCACCCGGAACGACCCAACCTTGTCCAGAGTTCGACATTGGACGGGGGTTGGATGGCCTCAAGGCAGGCTGCCGGACGAGTTCAAGCCATTTGTTCGACGGCAGCACGAGTTGTCGGAGTATCGGGGATGCCTGCTGTGGGGATGTAGAGTCATCATTCCAGAGCAAGCGAGAGACCAGGTTTTGGAGCTGCTGCACACCACGCATCCCGGGATCGTCCGCATGAAGGCGCTTGCCAGAAGCACAGTTTGGTGGCCGGGTATCGACCAAGATATCGAAAGGAAGGCCCGAACCTGCCTGCCCTGCCAGGAGACAAGGCCGCAACCTGCACGTGCAAGACTGCATCCGTGGGGATTTGCCAGAAACCCATGGTCCCGAATCCACATCGATTTTGCAGGACCCTTCCAAGGAAAGGTTTTTCTTCTGGTGGTGGATGCGCATTCGAAATGGCTGGAAGTCATCCAGATAGCATCCATGTCGTCAGCAGCAGTGTGTCAAAGGCTGCGAGTGCTGTTCGCAACACACGGTGTTCCCGACACTATAGTCTCGGACAATGGGACAGCGTTCGTCTCACAAGAATTTGAAGAATTTTTGCAGAGAAACCAGATCCGGCACGTTAAGGTGGCGCCATATCATCCATCGTCAAATGGCCAAGTGGAGCGCATGGTCCAAGAAACTAAACAAGTCCTCAGGCGCATGGAAGGAGGCGACATGGCCACCAAGTTGGCCCGATTTCTTTTGAGTCATCATATTCTCCCGCACTCAACGACCGGAAAGAGTCCGGCGGAATTGTTGATGGGTCGGAGACTCCGTACTGCACTGGACCGGCTTCACCCAGACCTACAAGCAGAGATGGTGGACAAGCAAGAGGAACAAGCGCTGCGGGGAAGACAAGATGTACGCGAATTCAAGCCGCGAGAACCAGTCTTCATCCGCAATTATTTAGCAGGCCCCAAGTGGCTACCCGGTATCATCACTGAGATCACCGGTCCGGTGTCTTACAAGGTTCGCACCATCGACGGTCGTTTCTGGAAGCGGCACGTGGACCAAATCCGGAGACGGGAGTGGAGCACATACCTGGACGAGGAGGAGCCTACGACAGAGCTGTCACCTCAGGAGCTCTCCTTACCAAGCGAGCCATCGCTTAGGAATGAATCGGTGGAAGAGTGCCCACCATCTACGAGTCAAGCGGACTTCCCTGAGGAGTCAACCCCAGTGGCAACACCTCCAGCTTCCCCACAACGTTCACCTGCTTCACCCCATGAACCGAGGCACCAAACAGTGTTGCCAACTTCAGCGCCTGCGCAAGAACAGTCAAATCGTCCCCAGCGACAACGGCGACGTCCCGACTACCTAAAGGACTATGTGACCTAGGGGGGAGGGATGTTGTGTGTTGGCAACCGAGGATATCCAGGGATGCCGGTGAACTGGTGCACGCGCGCAGGCACGAGACGTTCTACTGCTCTGGCCCCCAACCCGGTCGGTTGTGCCCGCTGTATGCTGTAATGTATATATTATGTAAAGATTAAATACACAACACACTTAAGAGTAAATCTAGTCAATTCACTCGAAAACACACTTTTTTTTTGTAATGATAGTTGAGCATCCGGTCACATTATAGAAGAATCAACATCGCCAATAATTTTATTCTATCAGATGCAGAAAAAGCAGAATACGAAAAAGAAAAAAAATAATTTTGATAATTCGCGTCATAGCCCGTTGCATTTTGCACTTGGAACTACAAGGACACAAACGGCAACGCACGTTGCACGCCGCAACGCATGTATTTTTTCTTTGTTTTACTTTTAGAACTGAAGGGCTGCCAGAAAAACTAAAAGTGCAGGGAAACGTGCTTTTTCGGTTCACTCCGCTAAGAGCTAAACGTTGGCACACGTCAACAAACCCTGCGAGAAAACTAGGGAAAGAAAAAGCGCTAGTGTTGTATTCGCACTACGAATGTCACGCAGCGTACCTCTACCGCAGTACGACAGTCTGTGCCACGGTGGATGGTGGCCATAGTGTGGAGTTTGTACTTTTCTTTTTACTTTAACAGAGCATTCGAGCCCTAGCTCGCACAGACGCTCTTCCCCCCTTTCCCCTTAAACTATGTTTCTTGCTCTTTTGGCACACAGCTATGAAATTGATGTCAGTGCAGGCACACTGCCTATTGTACTTTCCGCGTCCCGCTTTACGCCAGAATGAGCACCTAGTTAACAATGCCTGTCGTCGACATCTGCGACTGTTTGCGAAACCAGAAAGAACGACGGCCTTCGTTGAATTCATATGTCGCGTATGCTGCGCAGAGAAACATACATAAAGAAATCGGGATACTTGACGAAGCTGCTGTTTTTTTTTCTTTGTTTTGCATTACGGCAGGTGCGATTGAGGAATACTCGATAACAAGGTTTGCGTACGCTTTTGCTATCGTTATAATCGCGATAATTAGTTTTTAAAAGAAACTTCCTCCCAAACACGGAGGATAGTAGCTTCGACACAGTGATCAGGTTCGGATAATCGCATTGATGCCACCGGAGTTCTTCAAGAAAATCATGAAAACGTTTCTGCAAAGTGACGCATAGAAGTTTTGACATTCCGTCAGATCACAGTTTCGTTTCGTCACCGATCTTACGCAGTGGTTCTCAATCACTTCACGCGTTTGCGTTAAGTGCCTCAATGTCGCTTGCTGTCTGTGTCTTGCTATAGTGGTCCCATTCTTTGGCTGGGGCTAAGTAGCGCGCCTTCTCCTGGCCGCGACCACCATTTCTACAATTGCAATGTGTTTACCTCGTAAGCGTGAGGCTCTTGGATCAACTTTTGCCCCTTAAAACGCCAAATTGTGGAGTTCCCAACTGCTCGAATCACCCGAGAAACGATTGGAGCCTATTCGGCGACCCCCCAAACGCGTGTTTGCGGGGGCGTTGGGTGACACAGATCAAGCATGACGGACTGGAAGGCCGCCCGTTCATCGTCCATCTATGCAGCGCGAGTAACAGCTTCGTTCCGCCAGTCACAGTTCGTGTAATTCGTTATCCAAAAAATTGTCATTTCAAAAGCATGGTTCATCGAATCGGTACTGCGAAGAAACGCAGCGAATGCATGCCTATTAACGATGTGGTTCATAACACGTCGCACTTCTGCAAATGGTTTTTACAATATGGCGCTAATTCAATATGCACATTTGCTTAGTGCGATACCCGGCTCGTTGCGTCTAGGGTTTGAATAATCGCTCGGCACTGCCCAAACATCGGCACACCCCTGGGCGTAGTTTGGCTCGTGCTCGTGATTACTTTTTGACAATCTGAGTCCTTATGTGCGCGGTCAAAAGCGTCACCGTGGTTCGCTTTCCACGATTAAAAACCCGACGGGCATAAAAGCATTGTCACACAATCAACTTCATCAGTGTTGGTTTAAGAATGCGACGTCTTCAAGTTTCTACCATTTGTTTTGCACACAGCATCGAATCTAAAGTTCGCAACTGATATGTAACCAGGATCACAACTCGTGACGTCATGGCGATGCAAATCCAGGTCGTATCCGTCACGGAGAGAAACTATAAGGGGGCTTCACCGATACATCTCGGCGCTAATACTCGGCGTTAGCTGTTTTGTGCCACATTGTCAAAGTTAGCCAAGGTTCTGCGGTACTTCAACGCTGTCGAAGCTACTGGTGCGAGCGCGTGAATTCACGTGGCGTCATCTTCGGTCCTGATCGCGTGCGAGATGCAGTCTTCCCCGACGACATCCAGAAAGTGAAGCGCCTGATCCTTGAAAACCGTCGCATAACATTCTGCTAGCTTTTGGAACACCGTATCTCTCTTTACAAACATTGAACATGATTATTCGTGAACACGATTATTTATGAACATTCATGAAAGTTGCGGAAAGTTAATAGACCAATCTCACTAAGCGTTTCGCTCGTGCGTAAAACCGACATAACTTCAGTTCACAAGGGGCAGACGGCAGCAAAATGGGCCGCAGTGCCCGAGTCTGTTCCCAATATATGGCAAGATTTAACTCTAGTGTAGCTGTACTGCAGTACGCCATTAACGAAAACAACTTAGTAGACATTGGAGAACCAAAAATAAGCAGAGTACATTACACAAGGATTTCAAAGCTCTTCTCACGCACGACTGGATCGAATATATGTCTCTGGAGAACGCTACAAGGTTATTTCAGATTGCACGGTTAAACCTGTATTTTTTCGCAGACCACTGTCTTGTGTCAGTTGCCACTGGCGAAAAGAAAAGGCATTTATTACGTCCTGACTGGAGCCTATACTGAACACAACACTTCTAGCTGGCAAAATATTTGCCGATCGTGTCCTCAAAATTTCTTTACACATACCACAAATGCTCTCATTGCAGTATTTTGCAAATAGGACATCTTCAAACAAGAGGTTAAAAATTGGGCAAGCGAACGGGCGAACACTATCACATTCAAGAACAGGCGAGAACTCAAGAATCTCCTAAATATTTTACCAACGCTTTACAAATTTGAAATCAAAAGTCCCGGTGAATACACATAAGAAATAAACATGGCCAAAACATAACTATAGCAATACAACGCCGAGAAATATCGAGGCGCAGTGATTCGATCGCGCTCACAAAAATTCCTACACGGAGAGACACCCGGGTGGAGCTCCTTGGAAGATGAGCGAAGCTATGCTTTAACAAAGGAAATAGATACAATTGAACATAATGGTAGTACGAGAATACATACACCAAACGTTTCAGAGGCATTTGTGCATTATATTACACTAATATGTTGGGGAAAGGCATCCCAATTGAAGAAAATTGAGATATTGAGCACGTTGTGAACCTTTTGTCTTCCTTATCAGATGAGGAAGGAGAAATAGTTGAGGGCCCTCTGATCTTGCAGGAAATTCAAAATGTCATAAAAGCTCTTCCTTAAAACAAGACACCTAAACCTGATGACGTAAGCGCTGAATTCTACAGGAAATGTTTTGATCTGTTCAGTTCCTTACTCCCAAAAGCCGCATATGAATACCAAACACTACCGCCAACTTTTTATTGGGGTCACACTGTACTGATTTCTAAAACAGCGGACACAATAGTTTTAGAAAAGGCTGAAGCTTATCGACGTATATTACTTTGTAATGTGGACTATAAAATATTCGTTAAAGTTTTAGATGAACGCTTACACTTCGTAATACAAAATCTAATCAAAGAACACCAAACTTGTGGTATACGAGAACGAAACATTCAAACGAACATACACGCAGCAAGATCTGTGATAGACTCTGTATCCGATGAGCAAGATCAAGTAGCTATGGTTCTACTTGACTTGTCCAAAGCGTTCGATAGAGGAGGCCATTCTTTCTTATTCAAAATACTTAATCGTGCAAACGTAGGAACCATTCTATCCGAGGGCATTCGCCTCTGTTACAAAAACAGCAACAAAGGGATAATTGTAAACAACTCCCTTTCTGAATTCATTTTTATAAAATTTTCAGCGAGGCAAGGTGGCCCACTATCACCACTTCTTTTTTTCTTTTTGCTTTATGCTTTGGAACGTTTTGCCTTAGCATTATTATTAATGATAATATTTGAGGTTATACCCCTTGCATCACAGAGGTAAAGTTACTGGAATATTCTGATGACGTGGAGTTGTTCTGTTCAAATAAGAAAGGCGTAGAAAAAGACACTCGTATAACATAGAAGTATTGCGACCTAAGTAGAGCGAGGTTGAACGCCGAAGAAATCTAATGGCTTCTGGTTAGGCGCCAGGGCAACCATGCCAAGACATTTTGCTGGGCTATCGTGGAATTGCTGTCCCTTCCAATATCTTGGCGTTCCTCTAGGTCAAAGAAGATCCAATATTCTATATTGGGATCCCGTTGTAACTGAGATTAAGCAAAATCGTTAGCATGGAGGGCACGATATCTTTCTTCAATCCTCGCAAAAGCAGCAGTGTGCAACATTTTGTTTTTAAAATATTTAAACTAATGTATGTTTTACGAGTATTACATTGTGGCCGTCCAAAGGTACACTCTAAAATAACCTATGGGTCTTATTTCCCGCACAACACTCGGAGAGCCAATCACCGCAACTTACGGAGGCAGCTCAGCGAATTACGATGCCTGAACATATGTTTAGACCAAAAAACGCAGTCTGCGTTGACATTAAAAGGGTACTCCGACGATTTCTTCATGGTCTCCGATTTTCTCGAAATTTTGCTATGCTAGCCAACAAACATCGTTAAAATAGAATCCCAAATATTAGGTTAGAATATATTTTTTTGCGAAGTTATAGAATTTACAGTTTTGATCCTCACCGTGTTTTTCAAACTGGAAGTTTTTACTGGCAACAACAAAAAAGTGACGTCAGTGGAAGGCAGGGGTTCACTTTTTGGACT